CCACGGAGAGTCAAAAGATTGGTTTTATGTCTCATCCTAAGGACGGTGCCTTTTTTTGCAGTATAGTATCTCTGTTACTATACTGGGGCATTAGGACCCACACAGACCACAGAGTGAGTGCCCCCTACAGGTCCCACTAATACCTCTTCTAAAACCTTAGTTTTCCCAGGAGGTCTCCATCCAGATACTGGTCAGGCTCACACCTAGTTATGAGTTGCAGGGTGATATAGCTGCTGGCTTGTATTAATTGTATAGTGTTGCTGGGTAGTATTACTATTACACTGTTCACATTTCTGTGGCACACTTACTGTTGTTATATGGAATATAGTAAAATGAATAATGAATTGCAAATTATACCTGCAGCTTAACCACCAAATCTAATGATAAAAGTGTGTGTCTTTATGTATGCTGTCTTCAGTGTGTGTTTGTAGGTGGAATTAGGACTACTGATCAAGACAGTGGAAACATTTTTATCTATAAATTGTTTGACAGGTTAGAAAGGTCAGTAAATGACAGTGTAACAGTGAAGTAAGTTCAAAACAGTACCACAGATACAGGTACTTTCCTGGATTGCATGTAGTTGACAGGGCTTTGATTGAAATACATGGTGTTTGATTGTAGAGATGAGGGCACTTTAAGTAGAACGGTCAAGTACACCACCTTTCTGTTAGGCACTTATATTGATTAAACTTCCAGAAGTTTCCTTTCCAGGAAATTAAATATGTGAATAATGTGCTTTAGGCCTTAAACAGCCTCTGATTAAATTTCACGTGAAGCACGTACCACAGTCATGATCTCCATGAGTTTGAAATAGTGTAAAAGTAAGGGCTTTGAGCACATCTATTGAATCATTCTTTATTCTTGGCCATATGCAGTTAGCTTTCTAACCTGTATGGGAAAGCTCTTATAGACAAAGGATCCTCCAGGATCCTCCAGTGAATTCTGTTCTCACTGGCAAAAGAATGTAACAATTAAAGATCCTTCATAAAGAGAAATATTCTAAATTAGTTGCAGGGTTATTTTTCTAAGTCTGAATTATTGAGCCCTGATATGAATTCCCTGTAGCAGCAAACCATGTATCAGTTTCCCACTATACTAATCCTGTTCTCTACATAGGACACAAGAACTCCTATAATTTGACTACCTGCAGGGCCTTCATCCTATAACTTTTTTTGTGTACTTTAATTTAAGACTACATCTCTTTTTATTGTCTGTTGACATCACTGCTGTGCCTTCTGAATTAAAATTTAACTGCTGGTGCATTGTAGCAAAGAATGGTATGCCAAAAGGTCATAAATCATGCCTGATTACAAATCTCTTCATCGTTCGTTTTTCCTTCTTCTGGCCCTTTACATTTGTGTTGGCCTCAGACAGCATTAAATAGTAAGTCTCCCAGTTACAGTATCCACAGGGTGCTTTTCACTCTCAGCTTTCAGCAGACACTGGAAGCAGGAAAAAAGGGTGAAAAAAGAAATATGTAAAATGTCAAAAATGCTCAGTTCATCTTCTCTCATTAGAAGATTTAAGAGGATTATATAGCCCCCAAGGACAAATATTAAAATTAGAGAATATATGTATTTTCAAATTTATTTTTGACTTGCTTTTACCAGTGTGTAGCACATGTAATTGAAAACCACAGCAGGTTATAGAAAATCCTGACACTTCGTGATTGAAATTTCTTGGCTGTCTCTTAACCTACAGTAAGAGTGGTGCTGGGGGAAAAGCCTAGTAGCAAGCTTGGTCATATTACGAAGCCAGCACTACAGTCACTGGGTTTTGGAGTCATAGATTTTGTAGATTTATCTACCAGGCTGTATCTCTTGCTGTTTTTACGTACAAATGCCAGTAAAGTCAATTTCCTTTCATAGCCTTTCTGAGCTGTAATAGGTAATATAAATTATATTTTTTTAGCTTTGAAAGTGGAAAATTGAAGAAGGATGTCAAAGTCGTTTACCATAGATTGGTCTATAACCTGTAAAGAAAAGCTTTAAAAAAAACATAAAATCATGAAAGATAACCTTCAGAAATTGAAGTTCTTGAGTGAGATAGAGAAATGCACCTTTCTTGTCCTTCCATCAGAAAGAAATGATAAAAAAGCTTCCCAAGTATTCTGAACTGCAGGTAACATGATAAAACATGGTTAGAGATTTTACAGGACACAAAACAAGCCAGTAGCCTGCAGAAAACTGCTTCCGTTCTAGTCATGAAATGATGTGAGCTGCACTTTTCCCAACCTTTAGTGCTTGATTGTTGATGCAGGTTTGTTTTGACGCCTTAATCCCATCATGCACCGCATGACAGACAGCGCCGATCTGAGTAATGAAAAGAAAGCTGTACAGCTTCCTCATGTATCTTTGTGGTGTCAAGACAGGTAATAGGCTGGTGACCTATAGGCTTATGGTAATGTCATCCCTTTAACATATACAAATCCAATTAGTTTGAAAAGCGAGTTTCTTGTGCAGCTCTCTCTCTCTTTGACACTTTAGTTTTTAGAGTTGGAAGGTGCCATTCTACTAGGGAAGTATCCATATTTGTCAGTATGTGTGGGAGAACTGCAGGAGCCCACTTCAGAATACATTATTGAGGTAATGCTCTGTTTACATAAATTGTGGTTTAACAAACATTGTCCTTGTGCTGGTGGAAACTACTGGACCAGGAGTCCTATGGTTGCTTTTTGATATTTTATTAGATTTTCATTTGGAGTTTTACTCCCAGCTCAGACATGCGTTCAGGGCTTGGCTGTCAATATAAGATAATATCAACAAGCAGTAAAAATACATTTTTTGAATAAAATTTAAGTACATCATGCAGCGATTAGGAATCTTGCTGGAAGAATATTGTAGCCCAAATATCGTCCAAAAAAATGGCCTCATCTGTTGTTTTTTCCATAAAAAAAGAGAATGTTCTTGAGCTTCAGGATATCAAGATAAGGAGCTAAAAGTTTTAAGCTTAGGTACAAAGTGAGGTCTGTTTGTGTGTTTATCTGCTGTTACGCATAGTGATTAAAGCTGACATCAGGTAGCAACATTGTAGGTAAGAGGATTTTTTCCCCAGGTTTATTTAGAGAGCATATATCCTTTAAAAAAAAACAACAACCAAAATTATAGTCAGCAGGGGCTACACAGTAGAGAGCTAAAAGTGGTTTTAAGGTCACCATTATATGATTTAATAAAGTCATTCCCCGTAAAGATGTACAGCTAATAAGCAGTGGATGAAGAATAATTTTCGGCAGTGTCGTGGGTTCATTCAGCCATAATTGCACTCTGTTATGACAGAATGACAGATAGCTTGGGGAAGATGTACACAGTGTCCTGGGGTGATTAAAATATTGAAAGACCTTAGCACAAAACAGCAGCACAGTGGTGTGGCTTTACATACACAGTACATGCATCTTGGCTTAGAGTAAAAGGCAGGTTCACCACTTTGTACATGCAACTTCGGAGGCTCTCAAGGGCATGCACTCTGTTGACTCTGGAATGGTAATAAAACAAAGTGCAAATATGAATTATGTGTTTTTCCACGATGCAGTTGTGTTTATCTTAATCAGAACTGGGCTCTAGCCAGTGCAATTCCTGTGGTTTTTTATTCCTATTCTCATTCCAGTTGCAGTAGGTTTTCACAAGGTGAGCTGAGTGCTATTTGCGGGTAGTTGCCTTGCTGGAAGATTAATTTTGGTCTGCTGAGCCAGGTGCAGGCTCTTGTCATCCTCCCTTACAGCTGCTTATAGTTTTATTGATTTTAAAGACATCTGGAGATTATCATCATTTATAACGTCTCCTTTAAGTGTCATTGGTCTCAGAACCCCTTGGTGAAAGACTAATACTTGTGATTATACTTTTTTGGGTGGTAATATGATATGGAGACTTCCAGAGCAAAAGCTGAAAACATGCAGAAGCTTTTACTGAGAGATTCCCAACTTTGAGTGACAAGTCCTTATTGGAAATCTCGACCAGCCAACTGTGTATCTTCTGTCAGCGTTAGAATTTCAGATTGGGGAGACTGTATTTGCTCTTCTCAAAGAAACAGATGGATTGGCTTTTTTCTTGCTTAAAGAAGCTGAAATTTCATTTTTTTAAAATAGATTGTGTACTGTCGTGCCTGTTGGACTAAACACAAGTTTTATTTATTTTTTTGTATTATTTTTAATTTGTGCTGGACACATTGTTTACTATTTTAAAAAGAATGAGGTTATCTGACAGTACAGTACTTTACAATATACCTTAAGGTGTATTATTGATTTTTAAAGTATTTTAACCTAGTCATCAGTGAGCATCAGAAGAACTTTTCCTTGATGTGTTTCTGATATTACCATCATATAACTTAATCGTTTTTTACCAATGATGCTGATCAATAAGCCTAATCAGCAGAATTTAGTGTCCGAAAGCATGGAGTGCCAAGTGGGTAGTGTGGCCATTCATACCCTTAACATAGGAACGTGACCAGAATTATAATGTAATGTAATGTTTCTTTATTAGCCCTATACAATTTCTTGCATTAGGAATTCGTCTTTTCGCATACCCCAGCTTTTCTCCATGGAGACAGACACACAGACAAGGAGAGAAGCTTGGGGTCAGAGCGCAGGGTCTGCCATTGTACGGCGCCCCTGGAGCAGTTAGGGTTAAGGGCCTTGCTCAGGGGCCCAACGGAGTAGGATTTCTCTGCCGGCCGCGGAATTTGAACCGGCAACCTTCCAGTCACAGGCGCAGATCCTTAGCCACAGAGCCACCGCTCCACCCGAATTATAATTTAATTGCATCTGGGACCCGCCGGACTGTGGAATGAGTGGCTCATCAGAGGTCTTGTTATAAGTCGTTGTTGCCTTTATTTCCAAGATTTCCCTCTGGATAAATATACATAACAGGGCAAGGAGGATTTACCTTCAGCTTGAGTGTTTGTTTCTCCAGGACTTCTAAGTTGCTTTCACATCAGCAGCTCTTGGATGTCAGCTTGACTGCCTCTCTCGCAGTCTGTGACCCATGCGCGTGATCCCTCTCTTTCAGGTACGACACCATCACTAACCAGTGGGAGACCGTGTTGCCCCTGCCGAAGCCTGTGCACTCAGCAGCAGCCACTGTGTGTGGAGGGAAGATCTATGTGTTTGGTGGAGTAAATGATGCTGGGAGATCAGCAGGAGTCCTTCAGTCTTACGTCCCTCAGACCAACACCTGGAGCTTCATTGAGTCACCTATGATAGGTAGGGGAACTTCACTTCTGTTCGGCTTTGAACCAAGGCCTTGCACTCAGACATACTCTGGTCCCAGCTGACAATCATCCTAAACTGGCATGGTGTTGTTAAATGTTGAGTGTATTTTTTATACAGAATGTCACAGGAATATCGAATACAGTGCACTTGACTTTTTACACATTCTTTGTGCTCTCTGGGACTACCAACACAGGCTGGTATTGGAAGGGGAGACTTATTTCTGCCCATTCTTTCTCCCTCAAGTAGTTTGTGATGATGTGTTGCTAACAGCAAAAATGAATCTGAGAACAATCCCAACTGATTTATTAAGTGGAAATGAAGCGTCGCCTGACAGTTAAACACCAATCTTCTTTGTCCATTAAATATGTTTTTTTAGCAAGAAAGCCTTTTTCCCCCTACATTTTGGATGAGAATTATGATTGGTACTTTTGGGAATACTGTAGTTTTGCTTCTTTGATGCTTCCCCTTGAAAGCTATTTGCTTATCAGTACATACAGTATCTACAGCTGTTGACCAGGTTAACATTGGTACACTTTTTCCTGTAGATTAAGCAGTGATCTAAGAAGGAGGAGCATTGTTTCAAATATATATTTTAAATTGAATACTCTGTTTATGTAAATGCCCACATTCAGGGTGTTTATTTTTGCTGTTTTGGTTTTGCACTTATCCAACACTTATCACAGGGTTAACATCATTACTTCAATCAGCACAGGATATGGCCCTCACATGTTTTCATAACATTTATCTTCCAACACATAAACTAAATACAAATAGAAACCCAGTCAGATAGGCAATCTTTTATTTCTACAAACCTAAGAATGCACAAAATCCTAAATATTTTAAGCCACAGTTGATTGTCGATATCCTTGCCATTAAAGTATAATTATTACATCGTTCTACTGTCAAGCAGTTCGATTTTGTCTGGCATATGTCATTGTAAAACTTGTTTCAAAGCAACAATTATATGTGCAAATCATACAGCAGTGCGATAGCACAGTCGGAGCAGAGAATAAAACAGAAGTCATGTCATTTTCATATGACCCACAAGTTATGTGTGTCCTGATTGACAGTGATTCTTGAAGGCCACAGCCACTGATCTGTTTAATGTTCATGGTGCACTGAATCATTTTCTTCTCTGCTGTTAATACAGTTGCTACTGCCTCATCCAAAAAACAATTTTCACTTTCAAGGAAGCAGTCCTTCCCTCACATTCTGACATTTTTGGTACAAAAATAGCAGTTTCAGTAACAGGCCTATGAAAATGATTTTTAAAAAGCCCATGATGGTACAGTGTTTTTCTTCCACAGTTGTGTTTGTTTTAAAAGACATCCATTTTGTCATGCTCCGCCAGCCAACCTTGGACACTGTATGTGTCTCTTTTAATAGGATTTTAGACATAAGAAGCTGGGGAAATCTTATAATGCCTCATTAATGTGCTGCAGATGGCCAAATAAGATCCTAATCCCGTTGATTATAGTGTGGATGCACCTAGAGAAGGACAGCCTCAGGCTGTTTTTGTTATTTTGCCTTTTCTTCATTGCTTTAGCTTTCTGTTGTCAGTATTGCAAATACAGTTTCTATCATATTTCCTAACTACTAATAAGAGTATTAAGTGATATGTATAATGCATGACATTCAGAAGTCACGGAGAAGATTGACTGATATCCATCCATTCACTGACAGCAACCGCTTAGTCCAGCACAAGGTTTTCTGAGACCCAGATCTTAATCCAGTAGGAAATGCTACACTAGTTTTCCTCATGTTGCTAACAAATCCTTGCATGCTATGGTTGTAATTTAGATTTCTTTTAAGGAATGTTTCTCTGCATGTATCAGCTGCTTTGTTTTCTGTAGTCTTATTTCAGGTAAAGAAGATCGTGCAAGACAGAAAATCTCAAAGTTGATTAAACCACTCATGTGCAAAATGTCATTAATTGCTCAGTTTATTCTATTAAATCCTGCATTACTCTTAAGCAAAAACTAGGGGCCAATTTCAGCCTTAGGACTGATCAAAGTCTAACAATAACAGTCCCTAATTCTGCTAGGAAAAAGATGTCTGTTTCAAAAGAGAGGGAAGCCAGAGTCAGGTGTGTGCTGGAAGTCCTGTAATGCCTTTAAGCACCTCTGGAAGTGTTTGTTGATAGCAGATTGGCACTGCACTGCCAGCAAGGGGAGAAGCAGCAGTGGAGAAGAGCTTTAGAACAAAGCCAATTGAAAGCAGGGCTTCCTATCTACGCTCCACACAAGTGACTTTGAGAATTGACTGGTTAATTATACACCCCAATCTTTGTGTTCAATCAGAGCCAAAGGTGTTGGAGCCATAATGGAAGTTTAGAAGGGAGATAATTGTGCATTGGTACCTGTGTGATAAGACTTCAACACGTTACCACTCAGGCAGTATTGAGTTTATTTTCAAGTTCCGGAAAGTGGATTAAATTAAATGGACCGAGAAAGGATAGAAATCCAGTCAGTTCATTTAAAGAAGAAATTCCTTGTACTGGAGGATTAAGAGGTTAAACATTTTAATAAAGAAAATTAGATTATGTAGGCGTTGTGCAAACTCATTAAGAGACGCGAGTGGCCTGCTTGCCTGGAGAAATCATTAGGATTCAGAATGGGTATGATGACCTGTTCATTAATGTGTTGACATAGGAATTAAGGGTAAAGATTTTTATACTTCAGTAACATTCCTTACTTTGTCTTAATATGGCGGGGTCACAAGATGGCTTTTGGCAAAACTTTCAAAGTCCTTGGTTTTGCTGTTCCCCGATGCCTTCAATCGAGCCTGGCTCCAGCAAGGAATTAAATATTTTGACCCAGCCTGATGTGTCTAGTCACTTTCAGGAATTAAATTAACAAATAGGTATATTTGTAGAAATAATACCTTAGATTATTACATTTGTATTTGAAAAGGAATGAAAACATCTTGCTTATATGCTCTATAGTTATTTTTTTATCATTTTTTATGATAACTAGTACTTTCTTTTAATTAGTAACCTTGATGAATGGTGAATTTTGTACTTTTCATATTATTTAATGTTAATACTCATTTGATTTAATATTAATACTCATAATAAGTGCACTGTAAATGTGCACGTACTGTATATTCTTAACTGTGGCTACGTGCATTGTGAACTCAGTTTTTTTTACATTTTTTTCTTTTACATACAGTATATAATATGAACATGCTTTAAATTAAATCAAAAATAGATTAAAATACATAAAAATAGTCAAAATAGATAAAAAGTGTATTCTAGTTATTAAAATGTGGCTTAGGTTTTTATTAAACATTTAAGAACACTGGAATTAAAGTATATCAGAGTTAAGTAAAGGTTTATTCCATGCTGAAAAGAGAAGAGAGGAAACACCACATTTCAGCTGTGGAGCCTTACGCATGTTGATGCAGCTACCTACTTGAACTATACTTGAATTAATAATACTGAAATGTCTTCTACCTTAACCATGTTGAGCATTGCAAGTCAACATAATTAATAATGCAGTATGTTTTTACAAGTGATTGCAGAATAGACATATTTTGTGAACATATTGGTAGGAAAAACATCTCTCTCGTAGGTCTGAATAATAAGTATTCAGCAGTTGCTTCTAATAATGTTGAGTTTATTTATCACCATGGTCCAGCTGGGCTGTGTACATAAGCAAATTCATTTAGCATGGTCAGAGTGAGAGCTACAGAATTGTGTTCCCTGGTAATAAGTTCCTCTTATACAGTCATTGACAAAGACTGTGATATAGGTAACCTCTAATGATGGAGTATTTTTCCCAATGCTGTCCATTTTGTAATGGCCTCAATAACTACTTTTCTGAAAAACACGTGTCGATTAATTCGTTTTGAAAATCCTCTACTACAGAATGTTTATTTGCTTTTTGTTCCTGAATCTAAATCCCGCCTGAAGTAAGCTAGTCATCACAGTATTTTAACGAAAAGAGTTATATTTTGGAATTGGGCTTTTCGCAATTCATAACAGGGCAGGTTGAAACATTTCTGTGATTCTTTTTTTTACCCTTTTGTTTTGACCTGCTCTCTATATGCCTTTTATGGTTCAAACAGAATAATGTAATTTGACAGAGAAAAACAATTGAAATAAACAGGCCTTCTTTTGTCCTTGATAAAAGAAATGATAAAGGAAAAGCACCTGCTGTATGAGTCATTTGCCTTAAAATCCTCATATTTTCAGTTATTAGAATGCCTGAAATGACCTTTATAATATGCATATGCTATATTTCTATTTATGAACCAGAGTGGTCTCAAGTGTAAAAGAGCTGTTGAGTCAACACTGTTGTTATTTAATTATTAATTACTTAGATTAATGATTTACATATTTTCCTGGTTAGTTATTTGTAGGCCAAGCGGAAAGAATCGCATAAATAATTGTAACATTTAAGATGCAGATATGATGGCATTGATAATCAATAACAGGGCAGATTAGTTGATCCAGATCATTAGATTAGCATAATTGCAGCATTTACTATTTTTTTTAAATAATAAAAACCTTTGCCATCAAAGCCCGTAAATTGTGTCGAAGGTGTACAGTGTGCAGCAGAAAGTGTCAGGGGCTGTCTATTAAAAGACTTTTCTCTGTGCATGCATGCATGACTTCTCAGACCTTTAAATGTCAATTGATTCATTTATTACTCTGAGTGTGAGTAGCTAAGTATTTACAATATTAATGAATGGTGTGGAAGGCATCATTAAAGTGTTGATATGCACAGATTAACTTGCTTTTAAAAATTCACCAAAATGAAACCCGGATATCAGTTCATAAAACTGCTGAAAGACAGTGTAAATTGAATGAAAGCAACATGATTAAGTACAGCCAGATCCCACTTCTAACACTTTACAGTCTGTTCATCATGGCTTGATAAGAAAGGAATGCTATTTATACATGGAAAGTTGGGGAAAACATGCAGTCCTCCTCACCCAAAAGGTTTCCTGTAGCCCCTAGAAAAGTCCCAGCTGAAACAGGATAAAAACACACCTCATATTTGTACCAACATCCTCTCGGTTACAGGGTGAAACCTGCAATGCTGGCAGTCAGATCTTATCATTTTTAACATACTATACTGTACTTTGAACTTTGGAAGGAAAATGGTAATATGCTCATGTTACTCAACGGATCTTGTGTAGGGAAGTAATAAATTGAGGGAGAAAAGGACAATAAGATTTTCACGTAATACAAGCAATATGATTTCAAACCACTTATTTGAGGAATCGTAATGCACTGACAATGATTTGTCCACTAGCAGTACTGGAGATGCAGCACACACCATTGCTGTGGTCACATTAAAATATCGCAGCAGCACTTTGGCGCCCTCTTGTAACCACATATTTTTTTCCTCTCATTCTGGTTGAAAAAAAGAGTTCTTGAGTTAATCATACCAAATAAAGCTTTAACACATTTTTGACAGCGTCTCTGCTTTGTGAGTCTCACCTTTCTTTCAGTTTTTTCAATTCTGTTTATAAGTCTGATACAATGTAAAGGAAAGCAATAGGTAGTCTTTCAGTTGACTTTGCAGTTCCACTGAAGTAAGGTGTGTAGTGGCCACTGGCTGGGCACACTCACAAGCTTTTGTGAAAAAGTTCATATCCTACTGGCCTGTTCGGTGTGGGGTGACCTCCTTTTCACTGCATGTATTGCTAAACCTGTTTGTTTGTATATTACACCAATCTTTAAGTCATAAACTGTTTAGAACAGAACAACCTCACGGCTCTCAGTCTGCTGCTTAAATCTCAGGGGGTCGCCAACATAGAGATGGGGAACGTGTTTGTGTTCTGCTCACCACTCGTGACAATGGGGAAAGGGGAGCACAGCATCATCGCCGAGAAAGATGCTGTGGCAGACAGGGCATTAAAATGAGCATGTCTGTTTTTTTTGGCCTTCGGACAGATAACAAGTATGCGCCTGCTGTCACCCTGAATGGTTTCATCTTTATCCTCGGAGGAGCGTATGCCAGAGCCACCACCATATATGATCCAGACAAAGGCAATATCAAAGCAGGCCCTAACATGAACCACTCGAGGCAGTTCTGCAGGTAAGGACACAGCCTGCCCTGGAGCCTGCTCACAGGGCTTTCTTCTCTACCAGCATGTGGAACAAGGTAGCAGAGGGGATCTCACTGCGGAACTTTCAAGAGTCAGACACAATTCAGCACAACTCCCCTGTGATGCTGCACGCACAGAAAAAAAACTCTTTATGTTCATTTTATGTCAGGCTTGACAGCCACACCTCTTAAAAGCCGACGGCGTTGTCCTCTTGTGTTACCTGATGATAAGCTTTTCTTTAAGACACAATGACTGTTTTGTAATGCACAAAGTACAGTGAAGCAGTTTTAGGGATGCAATTCCAAGCATTTTCCAGGTAGCTACATCTTTTCCCGGGATATTGATTCACTAAAAAGACTGATGTTCTGTCATTGGAGACAAAGCTTCAGAATATCACTTGCTTTTGTCACTTTTTGCCAGTGTTCAGTTTTGAGTTTCTAATAGTGTCGAGCTGTGATGAGAATGCATTTATAGCGCATATGGTGTGTTGGTTAAGAAATAACACTCGACTTCTCTGTAACGTGTTGATAAGTAATCCGTAAAATAGACCTGCTTCGACTTGATATCATGTCCTTTTGAATAATGATAAAACTGAAAATTGAGAGAACACATGCTTAAAGTCTCATTGCTCTGGGACAGCATCATCAGAAATTTGGCATGTCTCAATAGGTGTGAAGAGAACTTGGCAATAGATGTCATTTGATTTTTCTGCCAAGTAATTGAATGATTATGACAGGACTACCAAAGTGTTTACTGGAACTATTCAGTTTTGCAAGGAAGCATAAATGCATTCTGGTGATTATTTGATTATTAAAAAATCTGTTAAATCCAGGAGTTCAAGTGTCTTGTATAACTTTACAGGCTCAGAAAGATTTGCTGAAATGCTATAGGCTCTTGCTGATGCCTTCAAATATGGATTATTTGATTAACTGGTGACAATTTAATTTCAAATCTAATTTTATGGGATGTTTCAGTGCTTTCTTTTATAAAATTAGGGTTGTGAATCTTTAGAATTCAATTAATTTCTATCATGCATTTTCTGAAATCATATTTATCAAATGATCGCTAGACTGCCAGGATACTGTGTGAAAACACCTATATACTGTCATGTGAAAAAGGAAGTACAATACATTATTTATTCAACAAAAAGGAAGGAAAAATGCAGAAACCATGTACTATAGGAAAAATTAAGTGCACCCTTACTGCTTCCATAGGAATTAAGAAGGTAATTAGCAGCCAGGTGCTGCTTATCAAATGCACTTGATTAGTTGATCATCAGGAAGTGTGACCATCTCTATAAAAGCAGAACATTTGGCAGTTTGGTGGTCTGGAGCTTTCAGGTGTGTGTTAACACCATGCCAAGGAAAACAGACATCAGCAATTAACTCAGAGAAGCAATTGTTGCTGCTTATCAATCTGGGAAGGGTTATAAGGCCATTTCCAAATAATTTGAAATCCATCATTCTACAGTGCGAAGGATTATTTACAAATGGAGAACATTCAAGACAGTTGCCAATCGTCCCAGGAGTGGGCATCCCAGCAAATTCACCCCAAGGTCAGACTGTATAATACTCAGAGAAATCGCAAAGAACCCAAGAGCTACATCTAGGGATCTACAGGCCTCGGTTAACATGTTAAGTGTTAAAGTTCATGACAGTACGATCAGAAAAAGACTGAAAAAGAATGGCTTTCATGGAAGTGTAGCCAGGAGAAAGCCCCTTCTCTCCAAAAAGAACATGGCAACACAGCTTAGGTTTGCAAAGTTGCATCTGAACAAACCACAAGATTTCTGGAACAATGTCCTTTGGACAGACCAAAGTGGAGATGTTTGGCCATTATGCACTCCTCTTTATACCAAAGTATTTTAGAGACAAATGTGAGGCCATCTGACAGCTAAAGCTTGGCCGAAATTGGGTCATGCAACAGGACAATGATCCCAAGCACACCAGCAAATCTACAACTGAATGGCTGAAAAAGAAAAGAATAAAGGTGTTGGAATGGACAAGTTAAAGTCCTGACCTCAACCCCATTGAGATGCTGTGCCAGGACCTTAAAAGAGCTGTGCAAAAAAAATGCCCTCAAACATCAGTGAACTGAAGCAATGATGTAAAGAAGAGTGAGCCAAAATTCCTCCAAAACGATATGAGAGACTGATAAACTCATAAAGGAAACCATTACTTCAAGTTATTGCTGCTAAAGGTGGTTCTACAAGTTACTGAATCATTAGGTGTACTTAGTTTTTCACACATGGATTCCGCATGTTGGCTTATTTTTAGTGGAATCTGTTATGTGTTGTTAGTCACCTGAGGTTATACTGTATTTACCTAATTTTAGGACCTGGTAAGGACCAGATGATGTTTTGTTATGTCCTGATACATAAAGCCATAGAATCGGTGTACTTTCTTTTTCACATGACTGTAATGCCAGTGCATACTGGGTTGAGTTTGAATGTAGTCAGTGTTCAAAGGTTAGTTTTCCTTGACAACGTTTTTCAGGGCAGAAAGTTTTTTTTTACGTCATATATATGGTCTAAAACATTAAAAATAGAATATAATGTAAGAAAAGTAAATATCATCTTCCTCTTTTACATTCAATGTTTTATTTTCTTTACTGCCCTTTGAATTTAATTTTAATTTAATTCCATGCTCAAATCTTCTCCAGTACCACACCATGTTTACTTCATTTAACTTCATGTTTACTAACCTTTCTGTTATAAAGACAAAAACTGCACTGGGGTACTATTACAGTATAATATTCTGTATAGTCAAATAGATACAGTATATAGCATACAAACATATGAAAGATATAAAAGTAAAGTTAAACTGCTTTTGCTTAAATATTCATCTGGTCAGAAATGTTAGATGCTTGGTTTTTTTTTCCATTTGTTTACCTGGTATTGGAATAGAGCCGACTGATGAATCACAGGAAGTCAAGCTGAGAGGCACTGCGTATTGTAACGGTCAAAAATGTCTCTATATCCTATTAGTCATAAAGACATTAGTTTTATTTGAAAACTTAAAAATAGAAAGTTTTTTGTTTTAGAAAGTTGTCACATGTGAATACAGGGTCCCTTCAAAGCGTCAGCAGAATAAGCACCACATTCAGACCCTTGTATGTGAGGGATCGAGTTTCAAAGCTATGTGTTTTAGATGCTGGATTTTCTGTAAAATCTTTGAGAAAACATTTAATTTCAATTAATGTTGCCCTTTTTGGTATTTTTTTCAGTTGTTTTTCTGTGACTTTACAGTTTTCCCTCTTGTGTTTAATGAACTTCCAAATCATGACTTTAATTTAAGGTCTCTTTGGTTTTGTTTTATTCAGCGCTGTGATTCTGGATGGGAAGATTTATGCCACGGGAGGAATAGTCAGCAGTGAAGGGCCAGCTCTTGGAAATATGGAGATTTTTGACCCCTGCACCAACATCTGGACTCTCGTACAAAACATGCCTTGCCCTCTGTTCAGACATGGCTGCGTAGTCATTAAGAAATACATCCAGAGTGGTTGACCCTGCAGGTCTGGAATCTCACAGTGGCCTACTGTCGCGGTGCTGATGTTGAAACCTAAAATGAACACATTGCTATTTTTAAGTACGTGTCTACATTGAATGTAGAAGTTCATCCTCACCGTTCGGTGAAACAGGGCCCAGAGCCCCAGCTATGTAACATAGTGTAACTTATTAAACCTACAAGTGTGTCACTAGATGTTGTAGTGGCACTTGTTGCTATGCTAGGTTGTTGGTTTAATTCAAATGTGGTAGGTTTCTTGCTGGTTTCTCTTCAAGTAGTTTATTTTGCTCATATGCAGGAAGATTTGTACATCTTACCTGCCTCCTGCTGGTTCGTCTATGAGGTAGAAGTTAGCAACAATAATAATAGCAGGGTTATTTGATTTTTCTTTCCTTAAGTTTGAGTATTGTATTGTATTCCCCAAAAAAACAAATACTGTAACTATGCCTCTTTGTTATGAGAAGAAAAAAACACCTTTTGTAATAGGAATGTCCAAGATGGAAGTTCCACTTGCTTTAACCATACAGAGGAGCGCACGCGTGGTGGACACCTCTTGTCAGAAGCATTCCTTTTCAGAAAACAAGTGCTGACCCCCCGGGGGGCCGGTGCCACCCAGCCTGGTGACCTTTGAGGGGATACCGGTTGAGAGTGGGCTTCAAAGTTTTCCGGCAGGATCCTGGGTACAGACATGCAGGACGCACAGGAACTGCTGCCACAGCCAAAGCACAATATAGACGGCTGAGACTCTGAGGATGAACTCTTCATTTGACTTGATTTTTTTTTATCTTTATTTCTTCCAAGCCTGCAAGTTAAGGGGAGGGGTGCTGGGGAGAAGGGGGGGGGGTATGATGTGCTCTGTAAATTAAGGAGGTTTCTGAAAAGATGTTTATTTTGAAAAATTCAAAGTGACAATGTATAAATGTTTTTAGTAAAATGGCTAGACAAAGACAAGGAGACTTTATAGCTGTAAATCTGTACCGGACAAAAAATTCAAAAAGAAAAATAATATGAAAGCTGATGTTTATTTTTCATTTCATTCCTACATAACATGACAGCAGGCCTTTGATATTGTACAGCACTATTGGGTAATTGTTTCATGAAGAATATTGCACAACCTACTCTACCAAAAAAGAAGGCAAAGTATTAAAGGAAAACCAGCTCAGATAAAAGAAAAATAGTTCCATTTTGTTAATCTCAGGCCAGCTGAGCTCATTGTTCAGCATTTTCCAGTAATGCTTGACTTGTGTTTCTGATTTACAATTCAGCCATAATGTGGAAAATGAAGAACCTGGATTCTAACCATTTAACTTCATGCTGAATGTGGTCTAGTGCTTTTTTAACATTTAAATCACATAGGAGACTGGAAACAGGTCCACCTGTAACTAATAAAGATAGGTAGGTCCATATTTGAGCCATAACAGCCCACTGCTCTAGAATATGTTCCCATGGCATTAAGTGAAAGAACAAAACTCCCCAGCAAATGCTGGTCCCTTAGACAAAGCTCATTGACTGTACCAATTTGCTTAAAGGAGTTCACTCAAGGGCACAACAGCAGTGTTAATCCACATCCCACCAGGCTGGAGGCCAGAGATTCACCCACCACACTGTCACTCCTTAACTGATAAAGGGAATTAAAATCAAAATCATTTTACATTTAAGCTGGTGTAATTCTTCTGAAGCATGGAAAAGAATTCTAGTCAATAACAGAAGGGCTACCTGCATTAATCCTTTCACAACTCATTCACAGTTATGGACAGGTGGAAGTGAGGGTTTTGTCCCATGCTACGTGTTTTACCATAACCACACTCCAAGCACACAAAAAGTGTCACAAACGAGAGGAGCCATTCAGCCCATTTGGCCCTTCTATAGTTAGTAGCTAATTAACCTCAGGTTCTAATCCAGCTGTTTCTTGAAAGAAACCATCATATCAGCTTTATCAGCATTGCTGGGTATCCTGTTCCACAGCCCCACAACTATTTGCGTAAAGAAGCTGACTGTATTTTAAATACTTATACCAGGTCCCTTCGTAGTCTTCTCTGCTCAAGATTTAAAAAGGTTCGTTTCCTTCTGACCGTCAGTGTGGGACAATCTGGTTATTCTTCTCTGGAATGTTCCTAGAGCAGTGATATATTTTCTATACAGTGGTGACCAAAATATATGCACAGTACTATAAATCAGGCCTTGCTCATGCGAAATACAATTTTAATGCAATATCCCTTGAATTTAAATTTGTAGAGGTTTAGCCATATATCATAGCTTTTTGTTTGCCTTTTAATTGCTTCCTCAAATTGTCTGGAAGTTGTAAATGATAACTTAATATAAACTTTTAAGTCTTCTATATAATTAGCCTCTTCTAGCTTATTGTTTCCCATTGTGTTTTTAGAATTTGTTTTTACTACCCACATGCAAAACCCTGCACTTCTCTACATTAAACATCATCTGCCACATGTTTGCCCAGTAGTAAACTATCTAAATCTTGAGTTTCATTTGCTGCTTCTATAGTGTTAGCTAATCCACTTAATTTAGTATCCTCTGCAAGTCTGACACTTTTACTGGACTCTAGATAATTCATATAAATTGTCATCAATGGTGCATTACACATCCCTGCAGTATTCCACTAATTACATCACTCCAATTACCTGTACCCATTGTTTTCTATTTATTTTAAATGGATTATTCCTTATAATAGGACTACAGTACTTGTAGCCCTTCCACTGTGATCCATTACAGGATTTTCTTACAACCAGTTCTTAATATCCTTTCATAAATAAGAGGCTCAAAATGTTGCAGTGAAGAAGATGGCTGTATCAAAGTACCACAGCTGAGCAAACTGAAAGGTACCAGTGTAAGATTCATCATACCAGTGTCAAGTTACTTATATTTCAAAGGATTCACGAGATTCTTGATGGTCACCAATACGAGTTCAAGCATCCTTGTAAGCACTGTAGTAAAATATAGCACAGTGCTACTCAATCTGTGGCTCTTCTAAATGGCTCCATTATATACTTTTGCTACAACCATCTCCTTGATTATTTAATTGGTCTACTTTTGCTAAATACCTAAGTATGGCAGTGGAGTGGTGCAGGTTGGTTTGGCTGCAGTATAAACTGCCCTGATGCTTAACACATCAACTTTAATCTCAGGTCCAGTACTGCATAGACTTAGAGGAATAATAAGGAAACGGCAGCAGGATTCAATTTTCACCTTTATTCAAGTATTTCACAGCAGTTTTCTCAGAAATTACAGTAAATGTTCCAAAATTTAAAAAATAACTTATGCTAATGTAACAAATTCAGAAAATGCACAAAAATTATGGGTGTTAAATACATTTGGAATAAAACTGATTAACCCAAAAACAAAATTGCAAAGCTATATAAAACAAAACTTTTATAAGTCAACCAGATGAAATCTCCTTGTTATCTAAGAAACAATTTTATTATTTGATACCAGCAAATGTTGTGACTAGTGGAAAAAAAAAATCATATACAATTCATGAGTACATTGCGATTATGCGGAACAGTTTCAACCAGGCATTCAAGTCCCTGGTAAAACACAAGTCCTCAAAAGGAAGAAAAAAAATCAGGGGGGCTACAAAATAATACGATAAAAGAATTATATTGGCAGCTAGAAAAACCTAAGATGTTTTTATGAGCACAATGGGGTTAAATCAAGAAAACTGACTCCATGAAGCACCCAGCATCTATTAGACACTACGCCAAGAAAACTGCTCTGCCACAGAAATTGTCTCCTGTGCTTCGGAGGAAGAAACTCAGCAAGTCAACAGTGAACTACTGAATGTTTTAAGGCAAAAACCTCTTATTACTGGTGAAAGCCTAAATCAGAGAGGAGAACCCTGGCAATCAAAAGGTACAGTATATGTATTCACCGCACCTAATCTCTTTCATTTCCATACACCAAATGATTGCCTTCTAGCTCCATAATCTGTGGGCAACACTAAAGCACCAGGTACAAGACAGTTAAACCAAGGGCCAAAAAAAGATCCGTCAACTCTGAAAGTGCACATTTTACACTTAAGACTCCGGATTCAAGGCTTTCATCTTCCCCCTTCTACTGAGCTGACTATCATCAGAACTAGGAACATGTTTGGGTTCGGAGTACGGTGGGGGGGGTCTACCCTTGAGATGACAAAATGCACAGGGCAGTGTTTTGCGGTGGTGAAGTAGCAAAATGAATAGATGGTTCTGGAGCTGGTCTGAAAAAAAACAACAGATTATTGGCGACCATTGTTCTCCAGCAACAGAAAATGGGCGTTTGCGATAACACTTCCACAGGGCAAAATAATGTCATAGAGCTTAAAACAGTGGTCAGCATCTCAGCAGCATTTCAAAGTTACACAATGCAAAATGATTAGACCGTTTCTCACAATCATGTTTAAAATGAAAGTTGTGTAGCCCATTTATTCAGGCACCACTAAGTATACCAAAGTCATTTACCACCTATACTGTAAACCAAGAAAAAGCAAAAATCAACTTTACAAATGGAATAAATATATATTTAAGATTAATAATGCAGCAAGAACCTGAGAACTGTAAAAAACCCTTTTTTCCAGAAACTTGCTACAAAAATGTTGCTACATCGCATTCAGCACAAATTTCCTGTTTGTAACAATTCCCCAATTTCTTTTACGTACAAAAGGTTAGGTTAATGAATATTAGACTGTAAAAACACCTTGTCATAGAAATAATGTTAATAAATAATTAGAAAAACAAAACCACACGAAAAGCGGTGAGAGTCCACCTACACCCAGCGTAAGACAAACGAGAAAGTACAGTGCTCTGCATTGGGCCTGCTTGTAGTATGATGTACTGAAAGGGATAGACAAAAGAGCAATACTTCTAATTTAAATATTGATCCATACAGTAAATATCCTTACATTAAAGAAGCTGGATTTTTTTTTTCCTTTTTGGCTCAAATACAAAAAAAAATATGAAGCACTTTGGATAACTGCAGTAGCAACAGAAATTGTCTCATTTTGTAAATTAACTGATCCAGTACCTTAGCTTGTGGTATGTAAACTGTACACGTATTACAGTACTTAAAATACTGTTGGTAACCAGTAAACAGCTGGGTTTTAACAAAAAAGAAAGCTGAGGTAGCTGTGTTTTTTCTCTGCAGTAGTCCAATATAAATTCCTCAAAATGTTATCTTGCATATCTTTGAAGGCTGCACCTGACACTGCATGGAGGGTGTAGTGAACTGAGATGGTGAAACTGGCCCTGGAAAATATAGAACTGATGAAGCATTCTGAAATCTGAGGCTAAAATACCTGGCTTGACGAAAAAAAGCAGCAAAAATAAATTAAATAAACACCATAATGCTCTATAGCCTAACATGGATCATCACTGCCTAGGATGGCCTTGTTCTGTTCAATGGGAAAAACGTGCTGAAAAACACAGGAACATATTTTTAGTAGTGTAAAAATGTTTTTAAAAACATAGAAAAACAAAACCCAACAAAAAGCATTATTAATATATTACATACACTACATAGCAACAAAGTCTTTCCAGAAAACTTCTGTAATTAGTCCTACTTGTAATATCTGTACACTTGAGAAAAGGCAGGGCTGCACACCCATAACGCTGTTCCACAGAGGTGGAAGCTGAACTTTGCCAATGGAGAAACACACAGAATTCTCCTCTAAAGTTGTCTGAAAAGATATCAGAACATGGAAACATACGGGATAAAAAACAGGTTTCGAATTTAAGACTGCGGGACTGTACATATCAAGTTAATTTGCAATGTTTTTCTCGTCCAATTGTTACAACACATGTATCTCTTCACAGAAAACCACCTAGGGGTTTTGCAAATTTTAAAAACTACCACCACCTCAGTATCGGACGCACTAAAATCTCAAAATGATTTTTGTCTGGATTTGTCAAGCTTACTGTAACGAATCAAGGATGTGGGATTTACAGTTTCACTGAACTTTTACCGACATTTATACATTTATGCTAAATTGTGTCTGTTTATGTTTGAGTCGAGATTTGAGTCAATTTTTAAAGAAATGAAAAATGTTTGTTTTCTGACTAACTATTTACTCTATTGGCACAGATTTCAAATAATGCAAATATGGAGAATCGAGAACGTTTCAAAGCCAAATTAGTCAAACCTTACCTCGATCCAGTAATGGGACAATGGCAGCAAACACATTCAGAAATGGCAAGTGACTTGAAACAGGATACAAACTTTATATATACAGTCCAAAGTGTTCTATCAAAGTAGAAGACTCAATAGCTGGTCATTTTTTATACAAGCACTAGAAGCGTGCTAATAGAATTTTGTATTGTTAAGGGTTTTCTTGTTTCAAATTGTGAATTAAGGCACATGCTAGGCAGTGCAAACCACACAAGACACTGTCTACCTGAACTGCATCCAGTTGTTCCAGCTAGGTGTTGCAATAAAACATACCATTGAGCACAAATCCTTTTTTTTTCCTTTTTAAAATACACAATGCATGTATAATGGCAGTAATAACTAAGTGGAGAGTTTCAGTTGCTATCTCTATAAATTTCATGAACATGAAAGCAAACTGTGCCTCCTTTTTTCAGCCGATTCTCGGCTCCGATTACAGTAAGTCGGGACAAAACCCCCCAAAGGCTTGTTTAATGCACTTGCTCTTTCTACAGCTGCACACTTCCATTTCATCTAGTTCATTACAGCTTCAGCCCTCGGTAGTTTTAAAAACAGCGAGGCTCAAAAACCCTCCTGATTAAAAAAAACCCATCAACATTTGTATCATGTTTTCAATATTTTGGAAATGATCGCCTGAGCCCGCATCTGCCTGCGTCACATATAAATATATATATAGAGAGAGAGAGAGACAAGACAACACCCAGATCATTATCTTCATACAATAAGAAAATTCCTTATTTCACATAATAAAAGAAATTGACATTTTTGGCAGATATATCTGGGGAAGGCAGATGGACCTTCCTAGAAATTCCAATTGATCAAATAACACACGAGTATGGTAGGACAGGTGGCGCCCCTGCAGTCAAAGGCTTGCAAAAGGTGATACAGTTTGCTTGAGAGAAGTGAGGCTGCTTCCCTCCCCCGCTACACCCAGAATCCTCTATGCTTAATAGAGAGTTTTGCACTCACTGCTGGAAAAGTTGGTACTAATTTCACTAAAAATATTTTATGGAAACCAGGAGCAGCAAATGGAAATATGATAGCACCAGGGTCATCAACAGCATTGGCATATGTATATCACTGACGCAAAATAACCTTTGAATGAGTCTGTTTGGTTCTGTAGGCTGGTTGTGTCCAGGTACCTGAGACAATAGCACCAAAGTCGCCATCAATAAAAAGTGAGTTTTTTTTTTCCTTTAAGACCAAGGCTCCAGATGGGCTTGGCTCTGAAGAAATGGCTCAGAAGGCTGGTCTCCCTCACGACAGTCTTATCAGGATCAACCTGCTTCGCTCCATCACAGGAATGTTTCAAAGTTTTTTACTGTCCTCTCCATTTCCTGGAACACAAAAAATAAAACATTTACCACAATGTCATATCAACAGAAACACTGACTTGTGTTACACGTGGTGCAGTGCAGTTTAGTACAGATGTTATACACTCACACACAAAGTGGTTCATGTAAGTAGTACGCAGGTATTTATTTGAAACGTGATTCTATGATGAGAGAGATCTTACATGTAACACTTTGGTGTTAAGCTGCCAGTATAGTGGTAAATACTTTCTGTAATGGTGATGCAGGATTAAGCAACTGCATAGAAGAATGGCCTTCAATCCCATGATTCCACTTTCTTTCCTACAATTCATTTTTATAGGCATCCTATCTAGAGTTCACTGTTTACCAAGGATAATGCGGCTTGAATACTAAGGACAGGAGTCAAGCCCAGATGAACACTAATAATGGTGCAGTATTAGCACCAGGGGTGTTTCAAAAAGAAACAGAGGATAGGAAAAATGATCATATCATGTTCTAAAATGAGATGAGACAGGGAATGGGTTGGGATTATCAACAGGGTGGGATCACGTAGAGTAAATCACATCTGTACTGACAGCAGATATCTTTTTTCTACATTATACACAACAGTATAAAGAAGACAGGACAACAATTTCACACATAAGTGGGGATCCGTCTGCGAAGGCTATAAAGTACACAGAGTGCTTTCACACTGCTGTTGGAAGTTATGATGATGGACCTAGCAGAACATATTCCAAGATAGGTCATGGTCAAGTAAACAATGTGAATACCATATGAATGCTCAATTCCCTTGCCCCTGTTGACAATGTCAGGGAGACACGTCATAACTGTTAAAAATTGTGAAGTCCTGTACACATGGAAGTTAAGAGCAAATATATTTAAGAGATTTAAAGGTACCTGTTTATCTAAGCAATTGCTGAATAAACTACCTGACCATGTGGTGGGTACTGATTCTCTGAGAATGTCATAATGTCCTTGGATCAATAAGCTACAAACAAAATGAGTCCAACAGTTCGTTTGTAACTGTGCTTACTTTGGCAAGCAGGCCTTTTCTGGAGCCAGCTTATTCATGTGGATTTTTAACACTTTAAGGCACAATCAACAACGTGACTGTTTTCCTCATGCTTTCATGGATAATTCCTTTCCTTACTACATCCCTCTTCATCCTCCAGAAACTTGGTTTTAAATGGGTATGAGAAGCGAGAATCAAGAATGTGCAGACTGAAACTTGTCAGGGATATCAAGGTTCACGCTTGCTGGAGCAGTAAAATGTAGACTGTAGGATTAAACACTTCTATGTATATGAGACGACAGCTGCTGGAAAAAATCTCAGGATGAAAAACATGCAAAGGGAATCAGAAAGGTGGGAAAACCAGGGAACAGCAGTTAAAACATCTGAACAGGCAGACTTAGCTCATGAGACAAAACTTCTCCAGTATCACAGATTCTCAAAGGAAAGGATGAAAGACACAAAGTTTATCTATCATAAATATTACATGACTGGCATTTCCAGATTTCCAGACTACATAAATTTCTACAGGCTTTTCCATCATATCAAGTGATGAATCTGCAAAGGTCATTTTTAACCTTTATTATCATGGCATTCTTCATTCCCCTCCCCCAATAAAGCCATTGACTGATATTGAAAAATGTACCACACATCTGCGGCACAGTGGGGATGGAGGAGAAAAGTCTCTAACAATGTAGCTCTTTTGTTGTGGCAAGAAGCAAGTCAGCGTGACCTTCAACGCACAGTGGAAAACCAGCCTGCAGTCACTTTCCCCACAAGACAGTCCGCTCCCTGCCATAGGGAAAGGTCTACCCGAATGCTTCTTCATTATACTACTGCATTATGAAAGGGAAAGTCTCTGGCACCCACAGCCTGCAGGTGGAAGCAGAAGAAAGGAGCCCTGGCTTTTATCGCCACTCAGCCTATCAATCACTCTGCCTCCCCAGGCTTTCTCTGCTGTGCACTCCAAAGACGAATGGATTCTCAAGGCGCACAGAAAGCATACTTAACTTATTCATGCTTTTTTTTTATTATTACTATTCAACAATAAAGGTTCAGCCTACAATCTAGACTCAAATACTGTTGATCACCAAGGTCTTCTTCCTGGTAAGGGGGAGCTATCCTTGTCCTCACTGACACTGTCACCCAACAAGTACTGAATGTAAGAAATCGCGGATTTAAAAGAAGAGGGACCACTCCTGATTATATTCTAAGTAGGTCCAAGTTAAAGGGCAAGTTTGAGGGGAAAACATGTATGTTCATACAGTCCTGTTAACAGGCAGTACACAATTAACTGGAGAGAAAAATACAAGCTGCTAGCTCTTCATGAGATGTGGACTAAATAAGGCTTCTTACTGTTAACGTGATTGATGGAATTTTTGTCACGTCTGAAAAACCTAACACTCCATTATTAAACATTTCAAGCAATCTGTCTTATCCTACGGTTCTGTTTTCCTTCACTTCCAAAACTCTGCCTCGCACGCCAGCCATCCCTAACATTACATCTGGCTGCAGGAGAAGGCTTGTTTTTTTTCCCCACTCTCTTGCTTGTGTGCAGCTGTGCAGATGATGCCAGTTTTCTGTAACACAAGTCAAAATTCTGGAGTGCTGAGAATTAGGAAAAGCCATGTCATTTGAAGTTTTTTTCAGAAACGCCAGTTTTGATATCCACGGACAAAGGGGCTATTTTTGTAAAGAATTAATTTCTGGACATGTTTCATTATAATAGGTTACAGTTATTAAGAACATGTCATCACAGCAAAGCTGTTCATAAGCTGAATCGATCTGCATTCAGCTCCTGGAACTCTCTACTCTGTGCCAGTTCACCAGTTCTCTGCCATAATTCACAGCCAACACTGGAAAACCATGAAAAGCTTTTTGGAGATCCTGCATCATCCTGCCATGTCAACATCTTACAGCAATATGTTCTCTTGTGAACACAGTTTATAAGACAATGCAGGTAAGAGGTCCTACAAAAAAAACCCAACATTTATCCAAGGTTTCTCATTCCTTTTTAATAAAAGCAGGAGAATCAAAGCCTAAAGAAGGGTAGTACGAATTCACTCAACACAAAAATGATGCATGTGACCAACTATGACTGTTTTGTTTTAAATCTTCGATGACAAGATTTTTTTATGAACTCAAGTTACGGTTGGAGATGAATTCTGATCTCTAGAACAGCCCGTTTCCCCAGGTCATCTCTGCCAAATGCTGCCGATGCTATATGCTGCAGGTAGTCGTTTCGAGTCTTTCAATTTTTTTTGCTGCTTATCTCATTGCGAATGGGGAGTTTCTAGGGAGAGAAGTCTAGACTGTCAAGATCAAGTGAGTTCCTGTGCTGGAGCATTGCCGACTGCTAGACGATGGCTCACAATCTCCCCACAGTCCCTCCCCCATTCCGATTCTCTCCACAGATCCAAGAGAAGCCTTTCTGTGAGCTGGCGCTTGTTAGCAGGAAAGATAGCTCTTCTTGCAACTACCTTTAAAGCTGAGAAACAAAGCCCCTATGTACGAAAAGAAAGCTCCATGTTACCTTAAAGCAGTGATCTAATGCCAGAATAACATATGCCTCCATTTCAGGTAACAAGCTCCAAGCAGCCTCCTTATATTAACATGTTTTTTATATTGCTTGCCTTGCAGACAGTGTTTACTTTACCAGGAAGATACCCATCACATCACTGTAAAAGTAGCCTTATTTTGCTGGCATTGGTAACAACACAGAACACAGAAAACAAAACTACTTCAAATGCAAATGCAGCCTTGGGGGGGGGAGAAGGTTGCACTTGCTGATTCACAGTTAAATAAAGCCCACTAGGAAGAAGGGCTGCTTCCAACAGCATTCTGAATTAAGAGCTGACACGGCGTCGGACTGCATTACTGTTGATGGAGAACTACCCTGAACTAACTGCAAAAGCTTTATTGCGGCCTTGCCTCATAATCTATAAGGAAAAATATTCCCAATAAGAGACTTTATTTGATGAGAAAGGTGCAAAGGGCAATAGTGGATAAACATATCTGCTGTATAGGGATAAAAAAAAATTTAAATAAGATCCAAGCTACAAATGAAAGTAAAATCTTAGGATCTATACCAGCTTAAGGGTCATGCTCTTTTTTCCTCCTATAATGAATCTTCTTTCTCTGGCTTAACAGCCGCCTGAAAGATTGGTCTGAATCCAGCAGAGAAAGATTCCCTGTGGCCCCTCACCTCTGTAAGATGAGTCTTATCATAGTCTCTGCGGTGCAGATAGATGCACTGACTCAGCAGAGAGTACAGCCTCTCCAGCTGATCCACAGTGTAGTTTTCACTCTTCTTGGTTACCAGCTCCAAGAGACCCTGCAAGAGAGTAATGACAAAATATTACAGGTTGCAGCCCTGGCTTTGCTTTTATCTCTCAATATACTTTATTATGTCGATACAATTTCATAACTCCATAAACCTGCCTGAAGACAGGGACCTGTGAAAGAATACTTCCTACAAAATATAAAAACAAATGAGTCTCTTCCATAATTGCTACCATAAGTCTACTCCTGATTTGTCAAAATTCAGTTGCCTTCTTCAAATAAAGAGGTTGTGAAAAGCCGATGCCCCTCTCATTTTTGAATGAGTTTCCCCAGGTACTGAAAGATTAAGCAGCGTTTTAGAGAAACAGTTGTAAGATTTGTTTTACGTAATTCAGCGACTTCAAATTTATTTGCAACAAAATTCCTGTTCTTTCATGTCATAAACTGTACAAAATATCTAAATTGGCAACATAAAAATATATTTAAGATATTTTTAAGCAACTGCACCGTATATTTCCAGCCAATATCAACAATAAAAGTTATGTTGTCTGCACATAAATGTGCACCTGAAAATGGAAGTTTTTTGGGGGTTTTGTCACAAAATTCATCTTCTGATCTCTTGTACTTATTTTGAATATTCATGCATGTACGTAATAAGGGACAGGTTAAATCCACACTGAAAACCACAAAGTGGATAAAAAGGTTTCAGCTGCAGAGCCTTCTTCATGTTCCTTAGCAGTTCAACGCTGATGCCAGTGCCCCAGCTCAAACCTCCTTAGAATATTTTCTGCTTTACCCAAGTTTTTTTGTCAGAGTTTGTTTGTAAAATCAATACAATTTACGAAAAACATCAAGGCATATTTGATTCATTTATGTTAAATTTACATTATTATAAATTCTAACTTAAACATATAGTGCTTTTCAACCAAATGCACTTTACACACAGTAGAGGATCCACTTTTAAAACAAAACAAGAATTAAGGAGGAACTCCTGGGGGGTAAGAGAGTGCAAGCCCGTAGTGGAACATAGCCAAGGTTTCGAAAAGTTTCATGGGATTGTCAATGACCGTCAGGACCGTTGTCCAACACCTCACCCATAACAGAGCACCTCCTACCTTGTCACCATACACTGGCATTAGTTTAAAGTCAGAAGGAAGAGCACCACCTATTGGTCAAGGATCACAGCAGCACCCTGATTTCCCCTGAGGTCTCATGTTCCAATACTGACCAGCTTCTGACATCAGGCTATAAGGTGATAACACTTCTGCCTTAAAAAGGGAAGTTTCAAAAATTCCAAAATCAATCCTCACACTAGGCGATCCTAAAATATTTAATAACACTGTACTGCTTTGAATAAAAAAAAAATGCACATTAAAAACCAAAATTCATATAATGAAGGCAGAAACTGTCTTTTAGATGGCAGTTTTGGGAATGAATCAAGGAACATTTCAAAGATTTGTAAAAAAATATTCTTACACAACCACTTTCAATAAGGACTTTACATTAACATAACACTTCACATCACTGTTCAATTAAAATGTACACATTTCTGAAAGAACAAAATTCATAACCAAACATTTTGCCAACTTAAGACTCAAAACATTTGCTTTAGCCCCGGGAAAAAGTGCTCTTTCCAACAGATCTCTCCCATTGCCTACAAAAAGCCAAATGAAACCCGGTCAATCTCTTAGATGGGATTTAAAAAGGCATTACAGCCATCCTTGAATTCCTCACAGCGAGGTCTCTGATACTAACTTTTTCCCATCTTTTTAAGAAACTGTACATCACAGGAGAAATGATTTCCTCCCCATCTACCAACACTTGGTTCACCTATCAATTACTTAAAAAACAAAAATTGTGCTTGTCATGATACCCGTAGGTGAAATTCTTGTCACATCAAGAGAAATAACAACAGAGCAAAACTGGAGAAGAACTGTACCATGACATCTGAAGACCAGTTACAGATACTGGTGCATCTTTTTTCATCTTTTGTAATTGATAAGCAGAAGAAATAAAGATCTGGAAAACTCCACTCTCCCCAAAAACAATATTCACCGTCAAATCCAGCAAAGGCATTATTCACAGGCTAGATGGAGAACAACACTGCTGCAAGGTGATACAATCACTACGTAGCTATCAACACTATGTTCAACACACTGGGCAGCATGACTGCATGGTGTGCACTCACACCCAGAGTGTTTGAAGACTGTCCTGCCTTCACTGCAGGTACATAAGCATCATTAAGAACACAAAGGTTATGAAGGATAAAAGGCCACTCGACCCTTCACAATTGTTTGGTTGCTAGCAGCATACTGATCTACAGTATATATGTCATCCAGCTGTTTCTTGAGAATTGTGAGGAAAACATTTTCAACAACATTGCTTGGTAGCTTTCTCAAGATACCATACACATTTTGAGGCCATTCTAAAACTCAAAACACATCCCCCTAACTTCCAGTTACGCACCTGTGTTGCTGTTTCACTGTTGAAGAGAAAGTAGTCCATTGGGTTCACTTTGTGAAAACAATTCAGGACTTTCACTACTCAAACCATGCCCATTGTAATCCACTCTGTCTCCAACAAAATAAACATTCTTAACCTGGTCACTTTAGGATATCCAAGCATCCACTTTCAAAACACATTACCCAGTACAGGTTGCAAGGGAGTCAAAGCATATCCCGGCAAGTAACGGGCCCAAGGCAGGATACACACTGGACATGATGTCAGTCCAACACAGGGCAGATACACAGCACAAACGCTCACACATTCACACCAGGGTGCAACTTTCCCAGAAGCCAATTAACCTACCAGCACGTCTTTGGATTCTGGGAGGAAACCAGACAACCTGGAGGACCTGTGTGTTTTCCATGTGAACACAAGGAAAACACACAAACGCCACACAGAGAGCACCCCAGGAATTAAACCCAGGGCCCCAGCACTGTGAGGCAGTAATGCTGAATCACTAAGCCGCCATGCCACTTCTTACGACATTCCACTTGGAATTACTGCCGTTGCTCTTCACCGACATTATTCTAAGGCAGCGATCAGAATGGTGTGCCAACCGGAATTGCACAAAACATTTTAACGACATCCAACAAGTGCATTGTATCATGTTTAATATTTTCAGTTAAATTCTACACTATTCACTGGATACCCTAGCATTTCATAGGGTTTTTTAATTGCTTCTCCACATGGTTTGAAACAGGACAACGGTGAGTCAGCAATGTCCTAGAAACATAAGAGGCTGAAGTGGTAGTCGCCCAACCGGAACCGTGCCAGGAATGTTCAGAGCCACAGGAATAGGCGGACTCTACGTTAAGAAGCCACCACTGTGAAATCACACTGATATGTCACAGCAGCCTTGTTTGCTAATAACAGGTTATTTTATGCTTTTTGAAAATATGTGAATGACGCCTACCTATTTTTGAAGCAGGACTACTGTTTAAACAACAGCTTACCATTTACACATCTCTCTTACTCACCCACCCCTATTCATGACAGAAGTGTAGGGCAACCTGACAGCTCTGAAATAAATTAATGCACTGTGCCAATCAAAAACAGATGGAGGAACCGAAGCACTCTTCCTCCCCTAAAGATTTAAGGAAAAGCAAGGCATGCACAGCATACAAGTCACTCAGGTAAAGCCATTTTAAAAACTATCTTCAATGATGAACAGGAACATTCTCTCTCTCAATTTCTCCATTTGGCTTTCAGTAAAGTAGCCTGAATTGACAATATTTACTCGTCATATATATTTATATTGGGTGGGAAATAAATTAAAATCCAGCACAAATGCTCAAATAATCTCTCTCCTTATCCATCTTTACAACTAAGGCACCTTCACCTAAGAAAAAAAAACCTGTAATGAAGTGTTGAAATACCCCCTGGGGAAAAAAAGAAAAATTAAAAAAACACAGTGGCAATCATATAAACGTGAAATCACTACTAATTTTGTAATGTTATATAGATAATAATTAAAAGGATGAAGCATGATAAAATACAATTTAAATAAAATTAAATGTGTCATTAAACTGTTACCTTAAAACAAAAGTTAATATGCTAAGGACTAAGGACTGTGGTCAAAACAGTTCATTTTGAGGAGACCTGATAGACGTATCTGAAACTCTTAAAGACTTAAGACAATTTCCACCCGGACTTTCAGAATTAACAGTGAAACATGAATCAAAGTGCACAAGTGGAAAGCATTTTGTTGTATTGAAAGCTCAGTCCGACAGCACAGAGATCTTCTCTCACAAAATTCAGAAACACCTCTAAGCTACAGGATGCACACAGTAATGTCCTACAGTGACAGGCTACAACAACTGAATTTTAATCGCATACAGGAAAGACTACAAGAGGATCAGATTCAAGCCTTCAATATCCTCAAAGGTTTTGACATATCTACTGGATTTCTTCATACTTAGCTGTGAAGCACAAACTAGGAGGACAAGAGTGGAAACCAAGCAGAATTACATTTAAGACTGAGAACAGGAGGCACTCTTTTACAAAAAAAACATGTGAGTATGGGTCAAACTGGCCAGCCACGATGTCAAAGACAACAGCCTGTCTTCTTTCAAGAAACAGCTGAACAAGTCAGATCAATTACCTACTAGCAGAAAATGAGACAGAAGGGCAAAGTGGCCTCCTCCCATCTCTGACCTTTCTCAATTTTTTTTAATTTGAGACAGGCTACGTTATGATAAACTATCTTCGTCATCCTTCTCTTCTGCTAATATCAGGGTTACAGACATGTTTTCCTTTCATTTAGAGAAGGACAGACTTTTTTCTTCATGTATTTAAAGGAAGAGAGCACTTTGCTGTTTTTTTAGTGGGAAGGTGAACTGATGCTTTGATTGTGACTTGCTGGTGTGACACTATAGTGGATCAAAACAGGAAGCACAGTGAAACAGTGAGGTGCTATAAGTCCCTGGCTTAAAACAAGCAACATTCAAACCACACAAAAATAAAGGCAAAACAGGACTTAAGTACTGGAGTTTAGTCTTCAGAAATATAATAGCTATAATATGCTTAGATCTTCTCTGGGCACCTCCCACACAACTGTGATGGAACAAATGTGATAAGTACATTAAATGGGTCTTTCCTACAGGTCTCCAACAGTAATATCTGTTTTGTACAAACCCAACAAGTAGAATAAAATATATTTCTATGAGGCACCATTTCATTTTACTCTCTTATAGCAGAATGACGTAAGGTGGTCGCAGAACATTTCCTGAATTATTATAAACACAATATTACACTTATTAAACAGCTTCCTAAATATGGATATTTGAGACCAGGGGTGTCCAAATCTGGTCCTGGAAAGCCACAGTCTAGCCAGTTATACAAGTCACCTTTAAATCATCGATTTGGAAACACCCGGAACAATATCACTTTGACCAATAAAGCAGGCGAATTCTGCAAGTAAGCAATTCAAGTGATGACTGGAAAGGAAAACGGCATCATTCTGTAGCTCTTAAGACCTACTTAATTCAGCTCTTGACATAACTGAACCAATTGAGTTACCACAAGCCCCAGGTTATTACAAACTGGTGATTTTGGGTTAACTTGTGAGACTGGGCTGCATTTCTCCTTGGCCCGAGTTGGTCACCCTTATTCTGGACGGATTTCCTAAAAATAGACAGTGCTGTAGACAAAGACAAATGACTCAAACCCTACTAACACCAAACAGAATTAAAATGTACTTTAATGCAATGTATCACAACCTAACAGAAGTTATAAAATGATTTTTGAACCCCTGAAGTAGTGGATAGCATTAGCAGAGCCCTAAAATCCTATTGTAATTAGTGAAGCTGCCTTTTCAAAGTGGTTTCAAAAGAAAACCAAGAACCAGCATAGATAAAACCAGCATAGAAAACCAAGAACCAGCTATACAACCATTGAAAAAACAAACCATTTTTCTGTTCTTTCTACCAAGATATTTTGTCTTCAATTTCTCAGTTGCCAAGTCAAACTACCACCTCCTTATACACATACTGGGTAGGCTTTTCAACAGTATTTCATTTATTGTGCTGCTGCTTCTCTGATGCCAGTGTGAAGTCTGCTATAAATGACAGCAGACAGGGCAGGGAAGCGTCGATCAGTCTGGGACACAGAGGCACCAGGGCTGTCTCAGAGCCCCGAGGCCACTGGATGGAGATAATGGTGTGATATTAGGTGTCTCAGTAAGATGATAAGGTACAGATCAGTATGATGTTTCATGCTTTGAAAAATGATTTTACACCAATTATGTTCCCGTCCTCACTGAAGTCAAGCCAGTGGCCTCTATATTTCGCAGTGCTGGGAATCCAATTTACACTTGAATATTAGGTGAAACTCAGCATATCTAACTGAATAATGTCCAAAGTCCAGGGGAAGTTTTACGTTCCAGGTGTGTCAATCAAATCAATATATGGTTGCATGTCTGCTCATAACTGCAAAAGGTGCAATGTGCACTCTGGAAGTATATAATTTTATACCTTCAATTTTAAGTTACCTGAAAGCCTGAATCAAATTATTGCTGAAAAACTATTACTCAGAGTATGTTTAAGCTAGCACACTTCAAGATTATTCCCCACTGGATCACTCAAGGAACAATACAAAGGCATTTTGGCCAAATAGTAGAAAAAAAATAAGTTGCTTAAGAAACACACAATTGTCAAACAAAAGCACGTGAGTAGAGTTACTGTAGAGTTTACTAACCACAACTGTAAATATAGAGGATTCATAATTGAGGAGCAGCTGACAAAAGACAAAGAAATTGTCATTTAAAATTTAAAGTGCTTAACAGGTTTCAGAAAAAATAAGGGATGAGAAAAAAAATGACCACAACATGAAACCACCATCATAAATTAAAGACCTTGTGCATCACACCCTAAAAATTAATTTCTCCTTTATATTGTTTATATCATCAAATCGCCTGGGAAAAAAAAAACAAAAGAATGCATGCAGTGACAGCCCCAGTGTGCCATCACTAAAACAGATACTATATTTTCATGGGAAAGTGAGAAGTTGAATTTCTTTTCCCAAAATATATTACATTCCAGTCATGTTAGGAAGCTACTGTGCCCTAGTATCTATGATTATTTCTATCCATATATAAAGCTACGCCCACCTACCCTTTTAAGACCAGTAATGGAGCTGCCCTCAATTTCTGAAGGCCAGTGTATACTTCCAATGACCTGCTGTAACCCTTCAGCTGTACTGTGCCCTTGCCCCAGCAGGCTCAGTGGTGTCACAGCTGCACCTGCTTGAGCTGTAAAACTATGCGACGAGACACTAATACTTTCTGGGCCAGCACAAAACTCAGAAATCCATTTCTCAAAACTAGAAAACAAAGCAACAACATAAAATAGGTAAGGCTGAAAGAGGAGAGGGGACTGCAGAGATGGTGATTTAAAAGTGCTGGACAGGTTGTTTGTCAAAGATCCTACATTCTTGCTATTATTAAGCATGCACTTTAGGACAAATTCAGCCAGCCTTGAGGTAGAGGCATACAATACAGAAATAAAACACTTAATTTGATCGTGTACAAACCATTTACTGTGGTTAATAAAACCCACCTGTTTTACCATAATGACTTGAGTTTAAGAATAATTGTTCGTATCTGGGTCAAGTCCTTTCAAGGACTTCTTCATTCAGTGTAGAGAAAGCCTTGTCACTGATTGTTAATGCTTTCAAGTCTCCCAGAATGGCAATGGACAGACACTTTCTACTGCTTTTTTCGGCACACTGCTGCTAAGAATCATTTTCAAAAGCAATTTGAAAGATTGTTCATATCTCTGGCACTACCCATATCACCACAAAACAAAAAACAGGCTGAAAAAACAGCCAATTTCTTGCTTGACAGTGTTCCTCAGTCATTTATTTAGTCGCTTGTTCTGTTGGTTTGAGTATTTTAGGAGTATTTTCAAGAATTAAATCAGAATAACAAGATGCAGTTGGTTTGCTGTGTTTGGATTTGTGTTTTTACATTATTTTGCACATTTGATTAGGTCTTATTGCATTCCTCAGCACAAAGGCATTACCCTTTATTTTCTTTCTTCACATACTTAGTGCTTTTCACTTCAGAGACTATTGCTAAGAATGGATGCTTGTTTCACAGCACTGAAAAGGCTAGCTTGTGTTACTTCTTGAGAGTTGATGATATGATAAATGTCAGCTTCACGCACTGTTAAACAAATGGCATAAATTGTATCTTTGCCATTTTACGACTTCTTGAATCTGTCGCTCATCGCTTCTGCATGGAACTGCGAGAATGGTGTTCACCATGTCAGGCACCCGACGAGCTGGCGAGTGATTTCCACTTTCTACACATGTGGAATCAGATCGATACCATGATTTATGAGAGACGTTACAAAGTACTCTGACCTTGGAGAGGAGCGCAAGTTACTTTCTTCTAACAGGATGTCGCATGTGGAGATCTGCTCAGGAACCATGAGGCAATCCTTCCAGCAACAAAACTCCTCTTGCTTGAATTAACATTCAAATTCCTTAACCGTTCTCTGAAAGAATTCCCTCGACACTTGTTTTCGTCCCTGTGTACGACTTCAAGCAATTTCAGAAAACTGCATCATTATCCCTATTTTTTTAAAGCTCCAGCTTAAACAACTAAAAAAACTGATTTTAAAGAATAACCTGGCTCTGTTTTTCATTAATAGACTGGCAAAGTATTTTGGTCTATATTTCATTAGCATTTTCATTTATTTTACTTATATAATGGCATGTTTTGATTACCATTTCCCCAGTATTCCTTAATATATATTTTTTCTTTCTACCCTTTTCCGTATTGCTTATCCATTATTAACCACTAAGATACTGAATGCAATCCATAAACGTCAAAAATCACAAGTTAAATTTTCCTTGAATGTTTCATGGTCATCTCAGTCTTTCAATGACCGGAATCTCAGGAATACATGGTACACAACCTACTGTGTACCTTAAGAGAAGGTATACAGCCCTAGACCCTCATAATACTGTGACAGGTTTTGAAATGTATAAATATACTGTATAACTGGGGATCTAAGACCAAAGCAGACAGAGGACTGCAAACAGGAGGAATACTGGACTGTCTATATGTCTATATATATATGAAATATTTTCATTGACCCCATTGCAACTGTGGTAATAGTTACTGTATGTATCCTGTATTTCATTCTATCCTTATTTCAAATACAGAATAATAGAAATAAAAGGCAAAAGCATATTAAAATATATTTATAGGTAAACTTCTTAAACTTTTCTAAAAGACCAAAAAAGTGCCAAGGAAATGGATTTCCCCTTAAAAACTACAAAAAATACAAAAAGTCAAAATGAGTCAACTACTTTCTCTTCTACCTCTGTGTCCTATCTCCGAGACTTGCATGAAATTCCACATTCCCCCCACCAAAAAAAAAGATTTTTCTTTACATTTGTTTTGTGCTTTTCTGAGCTCCATATTTTGACTTTTTCAGGCAGTGGTCTTACCGATAATCGCTCATGATCTACAACAAGTGGAGGGGTAGGTTCTATTGGATCCTCGGGCTGCTTCTCCACATTTATTGCTTTCAGCTGCTCTGAAAGTGTTTTTTTGCACTTCTTCATCTTGGTCGTGCCTACCATAAACAAGTAGAAAAAGCAGAGTGTATGAGTCTCAGAACACATAAATATGAAAAAAAAGATGTTTCACATAACATACACATCTTTTATTGTGCATTTCGTGCTATAAAAAAATGATTAGCTGTATATCATTACAAGTTTTAACTATAACCATAATGTGATTCATTGCAGGTTACCTGAAAGGTAGCATACACTGACGGATGCAAGCTGACAAAAGAACGCCCCCTTCCAAGAGACTACTGTTCACTATAATTTATCTCGACCAATGTATAATTCACAGGAAAATCATCATCGACTACTCCACTGTCTCATTCTGCAGAGTCTTTGCTTGGGGAACATGCAGCAATAAATCTAGCAGGAATGATGCCTACAGGCCTGCAAGAGACGGAGCTAGGCTCTGAATTAATGGGCATGTTATGGAGCAGGGCAGCCAGAGGAAGGAAAATGAAAAGGCAGAAAGCAAGAAAGAAATAGTAGTCTTAATGGCACCTCTAAACATGCTTTAACTAGTAAAAAAACACCATAAATGTCTTTGTTTTAACATAGTGCACCCTTCATTACAGTCCCTTAAGGAGATCCTGGAGATCCATCCATTTAAATCCTACAACAGCTGTAAATTGTTAGCCAGTCTTACCAGCTTAGAGTTACAAGTATGAACTAATGGTTATGAGGAGAAACAAGAAACAAAGTAATGGACCTCTGGTCCTGGAGGGCCACATTCATGCAAGACAGTCCAATTCATCATTTGCTCTAAAACTCAGTGCTGACTTCCTGCAAGTTGAAAAGTAAGTGGTCCAATGAAACCTATTATGATGCCTACCAATGGCCCTGCTGCAATGTGCAATTGAAAAAGACTCAATCCAAAATAAATGTTAGCAGAGTTTAAGCTTTTCAAGCTTTGAGTTTTAAGCTTTTAAGCACTTTACACAGTTTCAAATTTACCTTCATTTTCATGGTCCCCCTCTTTAAGGTCAGAGGTGGTCTCCTGTGGCACACCGCTCAAAGAACTGCCCACTTTCGCCTCTTCTTGCTTTTCACAAAAAGCACTCTTCTTCTTCTCTCCTTCCACGGTCTCTACAGTCTGGGAGGTATCATCTGGGAGAGCAGGGGCTGCAGAGGCTCTGGCTTCAACAGCGATCACCTTATCTTCAGATAAGGTCTCGCTATCCAGACTGTCCAAAGACTCGTCGCCATTCATGCAATCCTGCTGTTTCACGGGGGTGGGCTTGAGCCCGGGTTCGGAGAGCTTCCCGCTGGATTCGTCTTGCTTAGGCCGGTTGTCTGGTCCGGGCACACTGGGCACCGGGGGCTCATTGGAGCTCTCTTCTTCAGTGGAGACCAGGTGCCCGTTCTCATGCCCATCCTCCCCGTTCTCTGCTGGCAGCTCCATGGCATCACAGGACGACTCGTCGTGGGTCAGAGAGGTGTCGGGCGGCTCCTCCCCGACTGCATCTTCGGGGCCCTCCGTGCTGGCGTCCAGCTCCCCGCAGTCAGCGGGCTCGCTGTCCTCTCCGCCGGGCTCCCCTCCTCCCTCCTCCCCCTCCTTCTTCAGGTAGCTCTTCTTCTTACGGATGATGCCCCGACCCCAGGGGGGCCTCCTCCTCGTCTTGCGCTTGATGTGATCTGCAAAAGCACAAGAGACACCGCTGCCTTAGGCTTCCGGAAGTTCCCAGAACAGTAACACAGCTTCACCCCCCACCCATCACCTGGCGCGGGCCCCTCCATGCGCATATTGGCACTTCCTTACACAACGGGGTGCGGGAATAAGAAACAAACTACCCTGCCCTGTTGTTGAAGCCAACATTCGCCTTGATGTGAAACCCAAGACAAATTTCCATCTCCCAGCCTCCTCTGCCCCTTCCATTTTCTTCTTTCTCCACTACATCCTCCTTATTTTCCCCAGTAAATCAAAGCCACTATGCTAACTTCCCACGTTACTACTCAACTACAGGCCTTAACCAACAGTACTGCACATCCTCCAGCCTGCACGCTGCCCTGGTGTGCAGGAGTCCCCATCAGCAGGTCTTTCTAAAGAAGCTGCAGCTGAGCATGTCAACACTCTGGGGGGACTGAACCCCGGACTCAGTATTTATATTGTCTCGGGTGATTTTCACCTCTTGGTAAATGTGAAGTTAACAGCCGTGTTTATCTTTTTTCAATGTTGTCCCAGTTTTTAACATTTTCCTGAAATTCAGTTCTGCTTTTGGCATTAGGATGCTAAGGAATTCTGTGAAAATATAAAAATCCACAAAAAAAAACACTAGGCCGTCTTTATTTAGGTCTTCATAACACTTTTTGGGCTGAATCAATTGCTACCAAAAAACTGTTCATCCATGTTACTTTATGTATGGTTCTGCTCATGTATCTGCTTTTGGCTATGGAATGGTCTTATAATCTACTATGCAAAGTGACTTGCATATGCAGTATAAGGTCATTTTTTTTTGCATTTAAAAAAATGTTTTATCGTCTTAATTTTTTATTCTTTTATTCATGAAGCTTACTTTTGCTTTTAAGAACAAAACATATGAATCATCTTCAGCATTCCGACAATTTTTTTTTCAAAAGCTAAAACTTTATAATTCTGGACAGACAGAAGTTTCACAAACCAAAAACAAAATTAAATTCAAAACAGCCAGCCACAAGGGCTTGATTACTCCCTTTTTTCTCTTCTGCAGTGGAAACTAATTAGAAATTAACATAAAAGCAAAGCCTCGTAATGTGTTATTAACCAGTTGTTTTGCATTCACAAAATCTGAACCAGATCAGCAAAAATACAGGACTTAAATGCAAATGCTCAAAAACACACACAGTGAATTCAAAATGGATAATATTACCACCATTTTTGCATCTGGAATTTGGAATTTGTTTCATTCTGCGTGAAGCAAACCCCATCCCCTTTAACTCACGGCTCTGCGCCGCAAGAATGGGAAGGATGATTTTGTTTATCTACCAGAGAAACCAACCGCAAGACAATGAGCCTCCTTCACGAACTATAAAACAAAAAAACAGGGACAGAACAAGAACACCACGCAGCTGCATACAAGACAAAAGGCAAGCACGCCACCGGGACGTGAAGAAATTCATTGCAGCAGATGGCCGGTAAGAAAAACCTTCATCTAAACTGCAGCAAATATGTTGCAGTGAGCAAGCGAAGGGGCTTAATGTAATGAAAACCCGAGCAAGTCAATTCTTATTGTTTTTGAGATCTTTCAAGATGTAAACCTTCCCACCCCCACCTAATTACAAATACAGTATATACACACACTCTCGCACGCTGGGTGACTACCTCCTAGAATTCAATTTCGCAATCTGCTGGAGGGCATGCCTGTTCCAAGAAACTGGGTTTTGTGTCTCTGCAAAACCAGCTTAGTCAGATCCCAGTGAGTCCAGCCAGGAAGGTCTTACTCTGCAGAAAGCAGAGCCAGCACAGAACTAAAGAGGGAAGAGGACTGAAGGCACGGGAGCTGCAGAGCTTCCTTGATTTAAGAACATCAGAAGCTTGATACCCCACAATCAGAGCTGATGCACTATTCTAAATTACTTGCACACACAGACAGCCAAAGCAAGATTCCAGTTTAAGATTAATTTGGCCACCATGACACTAAGGAGACTGATCAGTAGAACTGAATTTTCTGGGGGTGTCCAGGTACTGAACAGCGGGAAAGCGGGAGTAAATCATTACATCGTGCAAAATCCACATTTTAAAATATCGCTCATCCTTCATTAATAATAAATGATTTCAATAATTAAATAAAATGTTAAGTTTTCTGACTTCTCACTTTACTTTTTTAAAGTATGTTAAGAACCAAGGTAATTAGAGAAAAGAGCAGCTGGGGATGTTGCTGCACTGGGTACCCCACTGTGCCCACTGTATGCTGTGACCTCGTTGCCCCATGCAGACGACCCCTCTGGAGAAACACTGCTCCAATTAGTACATCAGAATGCACAATTGCCAACCACTGAATTAAGAGGAAATGCATTGTACTGTACAGCTGACCAGGAGGGAAAGATCTATTAAAGAAATAATTCTATCCATATTCATGCAGATGATCCTGACAATGGAATCAGCACTACCGTCAATCAAAAAAAAAAGTTTGCCTGGAGGGCAGCATTTTAGAATTAAAATTTCACTGTTGTTTAATCTTAAACATATTTAACTTTTCAAAGTACATACCATTATAGTGGAAATTAAACACTGAAAATAAAGAAAGAAAAAAATCTGCTTGCTGTATTATAACGCCTGGGAAAAAAGAGCTGAGTTTTATTATTAAAATGTCTTTTCTGGTATAATAAGTTCTATAAGGAGATTCATTTTTTCCTTTCTCCTTTCTTTTAGAAACTATTTGCTTCTATTAGTTTGCAAAAAGGGCTTTAAGAATTATGATTCATATTTAAGTATATATTAAAAAATGTAAAAATCGCAGATAATGAAATGATGAAAATACTTATTGTCCCTTTTACAACAAATAATGCACAAACTATTATTAATGCCTTCGGACAATAATATACCCACAACATTCATGATTATGTGATGAATTTCTATCATTTTAACTGTCCTATCCAGCAGAAACAACAACAAAGAAGAGAAAAGAGAATGCCTCAGCTCTTTAAATGCAGTTGTGGCTTCTTTTATAGAAGTTTTGATAAAAGTGATTTTCAACAGGAGGAGTGCTAATACAAGACACAACAGAAGCCTTTACTCAAATGACACTGGAAACTTCAAAGACTACAAGCAGTTTTGGGACGCACTTTAACGGTTTCTGGGAATCTCTACTAGAAGACTCCTACCACACGTGGAGCTGAAACATTTCTTGCACACCAGGATGCAGTATTATGGAATGCTGTCCAAAGATAAGACTTTAGGATGGCAATCAGGCAGCCATCTTGGTTTACTCAGGTGCCCCAGATATGCTCATCCTTGAGGTGGCAGAAATGGAGCAGGTGACATGGGGTGCATTTCCCTAAGCACATGATTAGCTGGTGAGGGAATTTGAAGAACTGCTCCAATGTACAAGGTAAAATTCCAAAGCTGGTCTGTGTGTTATAAGGCCTGCAAATTTCCAAGTCAATTGATATAGTGGTTCCAAGACAGTGGATGTTTGCAGTTGGCAAACAAAATGGAGGTCAGGAGACCATTGTGGTTTACACTGCAATATTTTCTGTCCATTTAACAGGAGCTGCATAACAGGTTGCATATCAGCAAGCACTTGACGACCCCCCGTGGGTGTGATTAGCAGAGCAATGAGCAAGATGAAAATCAAAAGCTGTTTTGTTTGCTCTTTTTCTGCCATATCAATAGGAGTTAGTTTTTCTGAATATGTATAAAAAATTAAAAGAAACTGCATTCATTTTGGACCACACTCCCAACTCCATTTTGATAAGTATATTCATCCAGTTGGTTCTAGCTGTATACTGAGCTGTACAGAGCTAACACTATTGGGTACATTTTGCCAAGCACATGGACAGCTGGTAAGGGGAGCATAAAGCATTGCTGTTACATGCAAGTGCAGTTCCGAGGCAGATGTAATAAAAAGCTTCAAGTAAAAAAGAAAAACTATCTAGACATTACTACAATGCGGAAAATCAAAGCTACCCATCAAAGTTAAAAAGGATTTTTTTTTTGCAGCAAGCAGCTTCAAGCACAAAGCTTTAAGTGATAATACACAAAATTTATCTGAACATCTGTCATCTCAATATACCGTGTGATCAAGACACTGAATGCAAAGAATGCAGCTTGTACAGGTGAATAAGACATTTCTTGGCCACATCTTTGGGGTGTACTGTAAGAAAGCAAGGCTTCTCTTGTACATAAGCTTGTCAGATCAACTCTAGTGCTCTAGTGGCACATCTCTGTTTAAAAGAAGAACCAGCTCATATACAGTACCTGAAGATCAATAACTGGCAGGAGCATCATCCTCCAATGCTTGTCAGAAATAATTTAAATGGGAAAATATAAGGGCTCAAAACCCATAAATCAGAAAAGCCTTAGTTGTTCTTTCTGGATTGGAAAGCACTGTTATTCAGCAAAGAGGAAACTTATCAAGATGGTCACAGCAATGCAAGGCATCTCATTATTTTCCTGGAAATATTCCTATTATTTTCTTGACAATTTTCATTTACCTGGATTAGCAAGAACGCAGAATTCTATTTCATTACCAGCTGGAAATCAAAACTGAAAACAAAATCACTGAAAAAGTAGGCCCAACTACACAGCAAGCTGTTAGTAGAATTATTTTACTGAATGCTTGACTCCAAACTCCAAAGGGAACCCGTGTAAAAAAGGGGAGAAATCTTGAAATCTTAGATAGTGTGATGTATTGTATAGCAGAGATCAAAGAAGGAAAACTGTTCCTTACATAGTTTGACTGGTTTATAGGTGCTGGATAAAACTGCATTCAGGGTTGAACAATAACTAAAGAACACAGTGACTTGGCTATGAAACTGGACTCAGTGTCTCCAGGCCCTAGCAGTCACTCCTAATAAAACAGTGGCTCCTCACTTTTCATGATGAGAGTCAATAAGATGTGATGTTGTTACCTTTTGTAACCCAGAATATAATGTTTAGTGATCAGTGTCCTTCACGCCTGGCTTGTTAATCACCCTGTTTCTCTGTTGGAACAAGC